TCATTGGAGAAAAATAATGATAAAAATAGACTGTTTAAATGATAATTGGCCAATAGTTGGTTTAAACATATTTATTTCACAAGTTCTTGCAACTTGTATTAATCACTTTCGAGTTAACCGCTTCCTGGAAACAACCAGTACTGGTGTCATATGAAGAAACATGGTCGTGACCCGAGTAAGTTTCCTGGAAACAACCAGTGCTGGTGTCATATGAAGAAACATGGTCGTGACCCGAGTAAGCTTCCTGGAAACAACCAGTACTGGTGTCATATGAAGAAACATGGTGGTGACCCGAGTAAGCTTCCTGGAAACAACCAGTACTGGTGTCATATGAAGAAACATGGTGGTGACCCGAGTAAGCTTCCTGGAAACAACCAGTACTGGTGTCATATGAAGAAACATGGTGGTGACCCGAGTAAGCTTCCTGGAAACAACCAGTACTGGTGTCATATGAAGAAACATGGTCGTGACCCGAGTAAGTTTCCTGGAAACAACCAGTGCTGGTGTCATATGAAGAAACATGGTCCTGACCCGAGTAGGACTCGAACCCATCATCTCTGGGTTGAGAGACTGACACCTTTACCATTAGGCCACCGCTCCCCTTGGCCAACAAGTGATACCGGAAAATGTAAAGATAGAAATATAAATCTGCCTAAAATATACTTAACGGCTTTTCTAACTCCACACTTGTATTTTGGCTAATATCTCTTTCAAAAAATGAAATTATTACACAATTTTAATTCATAATGTCATTTAATAAAAACATTAAAATAATAACGATCAAGTTAAATATCGATCAACCACACGTTTTTACCAGCAATACCATTAAAATCAAATGTCACATTTCTATAACCTTAATACGCCCTGACCTCTGATGACTGCAGTACATCTGGAACGCAATGGATTAATATAATTTAGAGATATAACCCTGTGGAATTGCATTCCACATCCTAACAAGAAAAGCATTGATGCAAAGCATCAAAGGGCGTCCAAGCAAGAAATGCAGAAAGTGACGATGAACTAGTAGACATATGATGTCAAGATATTCTTATAAACTTTTCAATGGTTAATTGGTTTTTACAAGAATGAACGGACGGAAGACATTGTTCATTATGAACTTTGATTGGCATGCTAGAGATTAGAATATTACTTGTTATTTCTTTATGATCATGATTATTAATAGCAACGGATATACATGTATACAATCATTTATAATCCATATGTGTAACGCATGATCAACACCACACTTGTGGAATGTCCCTTGTTATGTAATCGCTATTAGCGAAGACCCCCTCTTAAGGTATCTGTTCACACTTAGTAAAAATATGACACTGGTTATATTACCATGATCATGTTGAGCATTATTGTTTATTATACAAATAATTGTAATATCTATTTTAATAACAAAAATACAGAATTTTATGAATATTGTTTTCCTCTCTGTTTTGTGTTTTTATGTGCTATTTTTGATTCTGAGTTTTTTACGTTTACTACTCTTTTTTTTTTATTAAAATTGTAAAATAAATTTTAAGAATTCAATTGTCATATTGACCGACGATTATAAGTCAAAACTTAACTGGAAAAAGTCAGTAAAATTATGGTTAATCTTTTCAATATATAATATTGTTTATTTCTAAACCATGTACATGTACATTTGTATTTTTCTTTATCATTTTTTAAATTATCTATCAATTAAATAATTAATAAAATCTAATTTGTAACTTTGAATAATTCCTCGGCATCTTTACTAAAACACGAATAAACAAATTAAATAAAATGTTTCAAAGTTTTGATAGTGTCATATTAAAACCATAAAAATGTACCTTTTTCACAATATTGTACATATTTATTGTTTTTATCTCAATATAGATAAAATGAAACATGCTACTGTTGTTGTTGGTTGTTTTTTTTCGAGTTGTATGTTTATGTATAATAATAATCAATAAATTTGAGAGTTGATCTATGTTTATTAATTATTGTAACCAAACTAAGTGACAAATATTCATTTTGGAAAAAAGCTTATTTATCTGTAAAATATTTGTTCTGTTCTGTAACGGTCTCCAAAACCGGGAGAGACCGGACAATAAACGTGTGGTCACTAGTATCCCGGTCAAAATAGACCGGGAGAGACCGGAATTACCGATAGGAGTACATCCCTCTATAAATAGATTTTCGGAATATTTAGGTCATCAACTCATCATTCTATTTTAACATACCATGATAACCCACTGTGTACTACAAAATGATAAATAAAAAAACCGAAGAGACGGAAAAGGTTATTGCATTTGAAAATGTTTGCATTGCGAAATCCTCCAGTTCGCTATTCATTGTACATATCGCGACATTTCATTTTTAATTCGGAATGTCGGCTTTTATTATGACCGACTAAAAGGCTCGAGAAGTTGCTGTCGCCCTTTCACAAAATCTGATTTCATTCCATAAAGGGGCGCCGCGCTTCGGCGCGGACGCCAATAAGAGCATTTTCTACCTCCAGTAGAGGTCTTGGTCACGAGATTAGTGATTGTTTTGGGGTCCCGTCCAAACAACCGGGAAAACTGAAGTTAAAAATTCGATACATGTATTACTAACCTGGGTATTAATTCAAGCGGTAATTAGACATCAAATACGTGTCAGATTTATTATTTTGTAACGTTATAATAAAATATACATAACTTGTATCATAGTTTGGAGACCTTTCTGTTGAAAATGTGTCAGGGTTAAATCGTATACATATACATGCACAGTGCGTTAACTAGAGTGCGGGTATTAGTTACCCGCACTCCACAGCATACCCATTGATTGGTTCATTTTTGCTGGGGTTTACATATTGTGACGGCAGATAAAGGGAAAGCGACAGAAATGTCATATTCAGATGTTCGTTCATTGGTTCATTTTTGCCGGGGTTTCATATTGTGACAACAGGGGACGTGCTTTTATGTTTGACTATGATACAAAAGAGAAAGAACACCAAAACACTCGGCAATCTGATTAATACTCGGGGGCTACGCCCCCTCGTACAAATCAGATAGCCTCGTGTTTCGGTGCTCTTTCTATTACTTATCTCTGTCTATTAGAAACCCCACTTTCTTCTAGTGTCATTCGCCGCATCGTTTAATAAATTTCAATATTTCAATAATTTTATGATTTTCTGACATGTAAGTCAATACACAGCAATTTCTTATCAATTTTGTAGGTGTACAACTTTTGTATAAATGACAAGATACAAAATGCACGGAATGCACGTGCATCTCGTAACAGATAGTTAGACTGGTTTACGCTCAATTTTATACATGCCAAAATATTTCAACCCGTTTTATGATTGATAAAATTAATACTTTAAATAAAAAAGTTATTAAAAGATGAAAATGTGGAGTAAGAAAAGCCGTTAAGTGTATAAGAAGGCTGTCCCACTATTTTTATTAATTGAACGTTTTGGAATGTCACTAAAATATACAACCAGTTATTTACCATCATAACATTCGCTAGCACACCAACTATAGGAAACCATTTATTGATTTTACCATCAGTTTGTATGTTTAGCTAAGTTTGATAATGGTACTTATTTCGTTTGACATAAATGCTGTTTTTACCACAGACACTTGGAGTATATGGACCCGTCCTTCTCCGCCCCTGAATATTAAAAACTAAAAGTATTGTTAATTACAATAATTAGTTTTAAATTTGTGATTATATTAGTGTGAGACGGTTAAGTGTCTAACACGTGAACAAGTTTGAATAGAATTTCATAACGTTTTAAAAAAAGTCATTTTTTTACCAACGCTTCAATTTCCTGAAGATACCAAGCTTCGAAATGTAAACACAACTGACCTACATATATTTCAAATATTTATCTTATCGCATGTCATTTATTTCTGGTGTAAATCAGTCTATGCATATATTCCTTTAATAAATAAATGCATGTTATTATCAGATCGTACCTTTCTTCCAAGCTTTGCACATTTAATTACATTTTCCTAACCGTGTCACATGCTTCTTTTACGAATTCATGACAAAATTACAGCGGGAAAATCGCTGGGAAAAAGAAATTCAATCGCAACTATTCGGCCCTTTCCGTCAGTCTTCTTGATTTGGGTTCTGTACTGATTGGGGTTTTGGTTCTCGGCACGAAAAGGAAAGCACAAAACAGTGCCGAAACTCATTCCAGTCGTCTCACATCAAAGGAAAGCGTACGTTGTTATCTTTTTGAAATTATGATATTTTAGGGACTTTTTAAAACGTGGTTAAAATAGCGGAAAACAAGTTTTATGTTCAAGACATGTGACCTGGGTCGTAATAATATGCAAAAATATTTTGACGTACGGTTTGCACGATAAAAATATGCATGGTGTATACAAGTGCGGCTCAAAAAGGGGAGCCACGCACATAACCCTAAGTGTCTGTGGTTTTTATCATACTTGTTAATTATCACGTTTTGCTCTCAATATAATATTGCGGCGTACTTTTAATTTTATAAATTTTATGTAATATTTTAAATACACATGTACAATATATAACACAGATTCTTTTAATGGAGCTAGAGTAACCTGCAGTGGCTAATGCCCAATATAAAGGGTGTCTCAGAAATAAAGCGACACTCAATTTTAATTTCGATAATCTCTAAAATTACGTTACAGCTGTAAAAAGTTGATATACCATTTCAAAATAAAGTATTGTATTTAGATAGTACAATCCTATGGACACAATAAGTTACTGAAAAAGTTGACAACATAGTTGAGTTTGCAAAAAAAATAATGTACGGTTTTTGGACCTATGTACACTAACCTGAACTAAAACATTTGTATTTGAAGTACGCTTTTTTGCGAAATAAGGAAACTCTGAATGGTCAGACGCAGCGTTGTTACCTATAAACAAATCAACTCTAAATAATACAACATTTTATTTAATCTAACAACAAACAATACAATAACAATTGTAACAATAGATTGACAAATAAAAGAATGTGCGCTCGTACAGAAAGTTTTTGTCTAATATGTGTAGGGTACATCGATAAAACGGGAAATCCGTATATTTTAAAGGCATATACGCATTTTGACTAGCTTTGTCTAGTCTTAGATAAAATAAAAGAATCTTCAGAAAAATCTTGCACTATGTATAGGTTAAAGTTTATTATACGTATTTACAAAAATAAATTGGTCAGGCGCGGCGCAGCCGCGCGACCAAATTATTTTTGTAAATACGTACTAATAAATTTTAACCGGCTTAGTGTTTTAAATTATTTTTATTAAACAGTCAATTTACTAGGATGATTAACGGTTTGCAGATTTACCAAAGTAAATGTGTCACGATTCATTTGAAATATTGCAATCCTTTTGGACAAAAAATAATTTCAAACACTAAGTTTATTATCACGAGAGATTCATCACATTAAATAAAACTACATTGACTCTATATAATAAACGATCACACAAAAAAAATAAACCTTGGACATACATATATACATACGCTACACTCTCATTGATTAATATAATCAATATTATAATATTAAATAAAACATGCGTGATTAGAAAATCAAGCGTTTGCTAATGTCTAGTAACTGTCGCGATGATTTTACAGTGCAAATATACAAGTTTTAACAAGTTTAAAAAGATTTGCGTGATATAAAATGTTTTCATAAAGTGAAAGTTGCGAACAAGTAGTTGCTGATGAGAATTCATGCCTTCTACCTACAACATCACTTCATTAAGAGTCTGATTCTGCGCATGCCCAGGGATTTGCAGAAGTTTTTCCTTCATATAATTATGGAAGCTTACACTAAAATATCTGCAACTCAGAAGCATATAGTCTATTTCTCTTTTTCTTGCCGGGGCATCATCCTTGAACGTCGTTTCAAGAAAGTGTTCAAGACAGGCAATCATATGACGGTGTAATCTTATGACTTTATCCCTGTTCTTTAAAGTCGGACAGCGATCTGGAAATAGATAAATGCAAATAAAGCAAAATAAACGGTTGAAAACAAGACATACCAGTACACCATAAGGGACAATTGATGCAGAAAGTCATTTGATTAATTGTGGTGCTTCACATTGCTACATTTTAAAATTTCTTCCCATTTTCTCCTTCCTAATTTCTTCATAAATCCAAATAAAGCATGGAAATGAGTATGCCATGGGCTCGATCATAATGGATGCATTTTTTACACAAAGTATCATAAAAAATAGTTCTCGCGTTACTCTTTAGCTGCGCATGCGCCGTTCGAAAGTGTTTATCAGTCAGTAAAACTGCGAAAGTAGTTGTTTTTGCTCATGTATAATAGGATTATAAGTGTGGTATACATGTATATACATTACCAGCATCAGTAAAAACAATGGCTTTAAATAGTGCCTCTTCTTCGTCAGTGACAGTTCGCCATATGTCTCGTTGCGCGTGCACCCTTACACATTCAAACATATCTTCTGCTTTATCCGGCATCAAATGCATCACATCCTCCACAATAAAATTATAGCCTGGCACAGGAGAGGCGATTTTCATCTCTGTATGGTAGCTTCGTATCAAACTAGGTATCTGCGTTTCTTGTCGAGATTCTGAAAGATTTAAAATGTTGCCTTTTGATATAACTGTATATGTACAGTATTATTGTCCCTGAAATAGAGACAATAGGAATAAGAATGAATCGTTAATGGATTTATATTGAACATTTGAAATTGTTTCGGCTGATACAATAACAAGAGGGCTATGAAAGTCCTATACCGCTCACCTTACAAGGAGATTAGTGCAAATAATATTGATAACTATGAACATAATGCTACAAATGGAAACTATGACGTCATTGACTTAAATTTATTATCCCGCAAGTTCACACTCTCGCGGGATTTTCCGAGACCATGTTTGAATCCGATATGTACGCCGCCATGTTATCTACAATTTGTTATGGTAATCAAAAGAAGTTTGAAAAACTCAATAACGTATTATGTTAATTATTCTCAGTAATGGATGAAAATATAAACACACATTTGGTTACATAAAATAAGATGGTTGAAATTGATCGACACCAAGGGCCAATGAATGTCACGCAATGAATTGTGAGTTAGACTTGAAAAGAAAACTATTTTAGAGCATCTTATCCCTAAGTAATACATGTCTCTTTTATAAATAAAAAGCAGCAAAGTTCAAAATCTTTGTTAACTGATATCAACATTTTATATTGCATAAAAATTATGCACATAGTCATAAATTCATATCTGTCGCTTTCAATACAATGATGGTCTATGTGAAACGATGCACACATACCAAATGATGATCTATGTGAAACATTGCACACATAACTAATGATGATATATGTGAAACAACTCACACATAACTAATGATGATATATGTGAAACATTGCACACATAGCTAATGATGATATATGTTAAACAACTCACACATAACTAATGATGATATATGTGAAACGATGCACACATACCAAATGATGATCTATGTGAAACATTGCACACATAACTAATGATGATATATGTGAAACAACTCACACATAACTAATGATGATATATGTGAAACATTGCACACATAGCTAATGATGATCTATGTAAAACGATGCACACATAACAAATGATGATCTATGTGAAACGATACACACATAACAAATGATGATGTATGTGAAACATTGCACACATAGCTAATGATGATCTATGTAAAACGATTCACACATAACAAATGATGATCTATGTGAAACGATGCACACATAACAAATGATGATTTATGTAAAACGATGCTCACATAACAAATGATGATGTATGTAAAACGATGCTCAAATAACAAATGATGATGTATGTAAAACAATGTACACATAACTAATGATGATCTATGTGAAACAATGCACACATAACAAATGAATATCTATTTGAAACGATGCACACATAACAAATGAATATCTATTTGAAACGATACACACATAACACATGATGATCTATGTGAAACGATACATACATAACTTATAATGATATATGTGAAGCGATACATACATAACTAATAATGATATTATGTGCAGTCGGATGCAGCACATAACTAATGATTATGATATTGTGAACGATGCACAACATAACAAAATCGATGATCTATGTGAATCGATACACACATAACACATGATGATCTATGTGAAACGATGCTCACATAACAAATGATGATGTATGTGAAACGATACATACATAACTTATAATGATATATGTGAAGCGATACATACATAACTAATGATGATATATGTGAAACAATGCACACATAACAAATGAATATCTATTTGAAACGATGCACACATAACACATGATGATCTATGTGAAACGATGCATACATATGTGAAGCGATACACACATAACAAATGATGATATATGTGAAACAATGCACACATAACAAATGAATATCTATTTGAAACGATACACACATAACACATGATGATCTATGTGAAACGATACATACATAACTTATAATGATATATGTGAAGCGATACATACATAACTAATAATGATATATGTGAAGCGATACACACATAACTAATGATTATATATGTGAAACAATGCACACATAACAAATGAATATCTATTTGAAACGATGCACACATAACACATGATGATCTATGTGAAACGATGCATACATATGTGAAGCGATACACACATAACTAATAATGATATATGTGAAGCGATACACACATAACTAATGATGATATATGTGAAACAATGCACACATAACAAATGAATATCTATTTGAAACGATGCACACATAACACATGATGATCTATGTGAAACGATGCATACATATGTGAAGCGATACACACATAACAAATGATGATATATGTGAAACAATGCACACATAACAAATGAATATCTATTTGAAACGATGCACACATAACACATGATGATCTATGTGAAACGATACATACATAACTTATAATGATATATGTGAAGCGATACATACATAACTAATAATGATATATGTGAAGCGATACACACATAACTAATGATTATATATGTGAAACGATGCACACATAACAAATGATGATCTATGTGAATCGATGCACACATAACAAATGATGATATATGTGAAACGATGCTCACATAACAAATGAATATCTATTTGAAGCGATACACACATAACTAATGATTATATATGTGAAACGATGCACACATAACAAATGAATATCTATTTGAAGCGATACACACATAACAAATGATGATCTGTGTGAAACGATGCACATATAACAAATGAATATCTATATGAAACAATGTACACATAACAAATGATGGTCTACTAGTATGTGAAACAATGCACACATAACAAATGATGATCTATGTGAAACAATGCACACAAAACAAATGATGATCTATGTGAAACGATGCACACATAACAAATGATGATGTATGTGAAACGATGCACACATAACAAATGATGATCTATGTGAAACAATGCACACATAACAAATGATGATCTATGTGAAACGATGCACACATAACAAATGATGATCTATGTGAAACGATGCACACATAACAAATGATGATATATGTGAAACAATGCACACATAACAAATGATGATCTATGTGAAACGATGCACACATAACAAATGATGATCTATGTGAAACGATGCACACATAACAAATGATGATCTATGTGAAACGATGCACACATAACAAATGATGATTTATGTGAAACAATGCACACATAACAAATGATGATCTATATGAAACAATGCACACATAACAAATGATGATTTATGTAAAACGATGCACACATTACAAATGATGATCTATGTGAAACAATGCACACAAAACAAATGATGATCTATGTGAAACGATGCACACATAACAAATGATGATTTATGTGAAACAATGCACACATAACAAATGATGATCTATATGAAACAATGCACACATAACAAATGATGATCTATGTGAAACAATGCACACATAACAAACAGTGACATTTACATTATACCAATTTTTTTTCCATTTTGAAAAAACTTCATGAATGCCTTAAATGGACTTGCCCAGGTTAAATGTTTTGAATGACCATTAAAAATTACGAGGACTTCAAGATGAAATTTGAGGTAAATTATCAGTGTATGGACGCACAGACTTACCTATTACTGAAATAGTGAGTGGAAAAAGGATAACCACTTTCAGGTTTTGGCAGGGTTAGAGTCATAAGCATGTTAGGTTCCATAAATAAGCAGCAATATACAACTTGTCATAATGCTTTACCTTTAATTAAAGCTATTTTGTCCTCCATATCTAGATTATTAAAGCCTGGAATTTTTTTGAAAAACATAGTAGATTCTCTGACAACTTTCTCAAAGCATATAACGCTGTTATTCGCCATAAGTTTCACGGTTTCTTGAATGTTTGGCTTCGGTATAATGCTCTGTTTACGTCTGAACTCGTCCTGTAATATCATAGCAATCATAAATTGTCAAATGCCGCTACAGAAAAAAAATATTTTACTTTCCGCCAATTCCCGACAACCTTCATTCAAGAATTGCCGAAGTGTTCGAATTGTTAATTCATAGATTACTTGTGACATCGTACAGATAACAAAACACGTGGTAGAACTACTTTCAATCCGTATTGTTTCCGAGGTTATTATAGATAATAGCTGAGGACATTCCGATTGTGATTATTCATTTTACATTATGTCGAGAATATTCGTTACTCATAAAGATAAAATAAAAGAAGCGTCTATATCACAAGCAAGAAAAAAAAACTGTGCAATCTGAAAGACCTGGACAAATTCATAATGGTTTGAGTGTTTATGAATATGGGTTCGAAAAAAAATCGTATTTCTAAAAAACAAAGTTATCACGATGATGCGGTATATATACAAGTATTATATATACAGCTCAATGCTATGTGTGTTGACCAAATAGATTAATTCTTCAGCAGAATACGCTCACCTCTTGCTTTTTGCGATAAGCCACCCATTCTTCACAGTCAGGTTTTGGCGTTTCTGTACAATACATTGCTTGAGTACTTACCAGTCTTTTTATAACATCATCTGTGTCGTCTGTATCTATATGATAATAATAAACTAATATAAATGAGCCGTGCCATGGCAAAACTAACACAATGCGTTTGCGACCAGCATGGATCCAGACCAGCTTGCGCATCCGCGCAGTCTGATCAGGATCCATGTTGTTCGCTATTAGTTTCTCTACTTGTTATACGGTTTGTAAGCGATCAGTATGGACCCTGATCAGACAGCGCGGGTGCTCAGCCTGGTCTGGGTCCATGCTGGTCGCAAACGCATTATTTTGGTTTTGTCATGGCGCAGCTCATTAATGTTATTCACGAGACCAAAGGAAATGTCCACATCGTTCAGAATGAATCGGTAACGCTCTTCAGTAGTCTTTAAAAAGTGAGGGGCAGTCTTTTTATAATTTATGTAGTTTATAATATGTATTGTATCATTAACAATTTTCATTATCAATTGTTGACCTATCAGCATAATAATTGCCAATCTTTTAATTATATTACTAATTAGACTCAATTTGACAGAGAACATATTGGTATATTGTCATTTTAAACATAATTTAACTATTAATTCAGCTTGATCCTGAAAAATTGCTCTACGCTTATTAATTTGAAAAATTGTCGAGTCCATTTCTTGAAACTAATCAGTATTGTTGTCATATGAGGAAACATAGTCATGACCCAAGTAGGGTTCGAACCCACGATCCGTGGGGTGACAGGCAGGCACATTTCATTGTGTCAAGCTATAACTAGCAATATACATTTAAAACGATAAATATATACATGTATAACCACAAGTCTTTCATATTAATCTGATCACATGACCTATTATTTACTAGATCTACATTATTTCACACCTTAAAAATACAAGTATAACCAATTGAACAAAGAAATCGTAATTTGATCCAATCTTATCAATTTAGCCTCGTTTCCATTTCAGAGTTCAACAAGTGCATATATCTATTTAAAGCATATCGTACCAAATAAAGCCTCGTTTTCATTTTCAGAATAAAAATTATGTTTATCAAATCCTTATTGTTTTTGAAGTAACAAAGCTCTGTCAAAATGTCAAGAACTGGTGGTGTGAAATTTGGAGATTCAGTATTGCTGAGTACAATACTGAATTCTGTTAGACTCGTACACAGCTGCAAAACAGATAAACATGTATTAGACTCGACTAGCGCTTTGTCCAATATAGGTTTGAAATCTGTGTACTCGTCCAATATCATTTAGAATCATACTCAACAATGTATAATAACCTTAAAATTATTGATAATATAATGAAAACATAATGATGTTTCTAAACAAAATGTCCAGCTTCTGTATTTAGTGGGCTTAGTGCCGTAAACATTTTTCAATCAATTTAGGTAGATCGACTTTGGTATGATTTTAAAAAAAAATACAAGCAAACATTTTAGTAACTAGACGGTCTAAAATATAAATAGAAGATATTGAATGAGTGCAGTATACTGAATCTACTGAACGAGTTGAATATTATACTATGCGAGCCTTCGGCTATCTAGGCCTTTAGGTGCTTACTACCGTGTCAAGCTGTAGCTTATACATCAAACAATGAATAGTTTTTGAGAAATAAATGATGGCAATTTTGGAGGCTAAATAAATGGTTAAGAATTCATACTTCAAAGCTATTAACAAAACAGCTGTGAACATGTAATTTTCGCGTTGATTTGACATAAAATATAAATATTAATACATGTAATAAAAAAAACATAAGTACCATGATCACTATAAGTGGCATCCAGGCTCTTGCAATGATCAAATTTAGAAAATATTGAGATTGGAGGACATATCTCATCTTTGCAGGACTGAAAACTTCCAGAAAGCATAGAGCCAATCGCTGCCGTTTGTAGATGCTGTCCAGACGCCAATTCACGCCTGACATTCTTCAGGCAGTTTTCAAACGCTGGGGTAGAGCAGAAGACACTTTCTAATGCAGGAATCGCTGTGTTCACCTTGGTTTTACTTAGAAGTTTATCGCTTAAACTCGATATGTCGGCATCGAAAGCTTGTTGTTGATCATCAGCATCCCCCAGTTGTCGGTATTGTTTTGAAGGGGGTGACATATTCTCACACTGGACGCTACAGCTTTCCCCAGAATGTGACAAAGTGTCTATAGAATTTGTATCAAATCTATCTCTGCTCTTCCTTTTGTCAGCTCCTCTGTTAAAGCTTTGATCATTTTCCTCTTTCTTCTGGTCAAATTTCAATGAAGACAGAGATGGTAAAATCTGAGATTCAGCGATACCCGGCGAACAATCTTCTGTTACATCACTTGTTCCAGTGAGCTTCTCATTGCATGGAACGTCTTCTAAATCAAGTAGATCGCTGATTCTCTGATCAAACGAAGGCATGTTAACAAGTTCTGATAAAAAGCTGGCCACTATGAAATCAGTCTTCTGTAGATCCATCGGTAACTTTACATGGGGTAATATGTAGGTAAAATCTGAAATAGAAATGATTTACATGTATTTAATATAGCAGATTTTCAAGAAAATTTAGAGGAAATGCAATTAACCCATAAGGAAATTATTCGTTACCCGCGAACATGAACATGCCCAAATCACAGACACTCGTCTCAGTTATACATGTAGTTAAAATGCTGTAATATATATATATTATGTTGTAAACTAATTGTTTATTTGTTCACATGTTATTACAAAATGTATGTTTTGTATTCTGTGTCTATGAAATAAAAGAAATGTTCTGTTCTGTTCAGTAATAAAACATAATGACATAATGACAGAGTTATGAAGATATTTATTTGATCAGCAAGACTCGATTTTAATCTACTTTTAAAAGATGTCAGAGAGTTATAAGAACGGATATTAAATGGTATTCTATTCAAAATCGTTGCGCCATTGTAAATAGCTGTGCGGTGCTTAGGCATAACTATGTCATTATGTGATGAAGATTTAAAATTGTGAATTTCGTTGCCGCTAAAAGTCACAATTTCAGATATACATTGTATAAGATGGGACTGGATTATTACAAGCTTTATAAATGAGAAATCTGGTAATGAAAATTACAATCGTTCATTGTTCGACATCCGCCCAAGTCATTTCAGTATATCTTGATTTTTTAGTTTAAAATAATACTTGTTTAAAATAATACTTGAAGCTCTTATTTGTTATTTAACAACTTTATCTAAAAACCTTAAATTCCCTTGCTCCATAATCAAAATTGGACATTATATATGCATTATAGAATAACTGTTTCATTAATTTCATCTGTCAAATAATAAGATGTACGCCTCACAAATGCTCTTTTTGAATTAAGTTTTGAAAAAAAAGTGCTTCATTTCGGTAGTTCCAGGACAAAGTATTATTTATATATACACCTTATAATTTTTCTATTTCACATTTTCAATTTTTGCTTGGCAATGCTTAAAGATAGTTCATTTTAATAATTACTTATTTTGTTACTTTAGATGGATTAACATCTTGTTTAATTAAATTGCACCATCGATACATGGCTTCCAAATTTTGTTGAAGTTTACTTTCTTCTACATTCAAATCATGATCAGATACATATATAGTATATCTATGATATATGATAAATGTATATAAGTTACTTACTCAGTCAAATTTCGCCCCGTTCAATTCGTAATACAACACACACAAAATCACCTATATTTCTCTCTGTAAATCTCTTATTTTAAGCTTTAACAATGTTGTTTCAACATTTTATCAACGGGAATGTCTGTAAATGTGACCAAGATGATAATTGAATGTTATCAGGTTCCTTGGAGATACCATGGATACATAATACAGGAGTGTCGTGCAATGTCGTCCAGCGGTTGGGAAAAGTGTGGATATACGATGTCCCATTAGGACCACCGCGATACACCAACAACGATGAAAAGTCGAAACCACGATAATGAAAAATCGAAATAACGAAACAACACACCACGCTGGAGGAAGGTCGAAAGTGCAATATTATATCGAGTTTTAAAAAGTGTTGTACATTTCATGACATATGCAGTCAGACAAGGAAAGGTAGTTGATAAAGGTTCAATATTTCAGACCGGAAGGGCATATTGAGACTCTCCGTATTAAACTTTCGGTCACTGGGTCAGATGTCATGGTTTCGGTCTTCATGGTCTTGTTTATTTTGACTGATACATCCGTCCGCCCAGGAGATACATTTTTCAGTTTTGGCAATAAAATAGCCAAATATATATAAGCCGCGTATAGTGTGTTTGCGACCAGCATGGATCCAGACTAGCCTGCGCATCCGCGCAGTGTGATCAGGATCCATGTTGTTCGCTTACAAAACCTATAACAAGTAGAGAAACTAATAGCGAACAGCATGGATCCTGAACAGACTGCGCGGATGCGCAGGCTGGTCTGAATCCGTGCTGGTCGCAAACGCATTACGTTGGTTTTGTCGTGACGCGGCTCATATATTGATGATTGATTCATTACTAATTAACACGTGCCTTTTAAAGTTCCTTAAAGCCCCAGTCACATTAGAGCTTACGACCAGTGAAGACCAGTTCACGATCACCAGTGACCTCTGGTCGCGGACAATCTTTAAAACGTCTTTCGACGGTCATCGGTGATCTTTGACAGTCGCAGTCCCACGACCAATTTCAGTCGTAGAGAGGTTTTTGAGCTTGCACAAAAACCTCCTTGCGCTAGTGATCTTGTAAGGTCTTAAGGCTGTCGCACGATGGTCGTTCGGAAGTGCGACAATCTTACGACAGTCTTTACAAATTGCCACTAGTCACTGATAATCTTAAGTAGTCTTTAGTAATCGTGTGATAGTCGTACGACAAGTTGTAGGTGATCGCATGTTATGTCACGGGTAGTCGTAAGTAATCCCAGGCAATCTTGAGACCATCGTACGTTTACTTATGACCTGTCGTGCGATTGTCAATGATGACTTGTCTTACGATACTCGCAAAAGTAAATTTATCTGTGCAAAAATGGTTTTGGTCGCAGACAATCGCTGATGATTGTCAGTTTTACAAGTCGCCGGTGGTCGCAAGTAATCGTAAGC